CCCGAACTGCAAAGACCAGAGGTCCCCCACCAGCAGCCCTCCCGCCACCACCGTAGAGTCCCCAGCAGCTCACTGGGCGTTTGAAGCCCCTAGCGAGGACCCATCTGGAGCCGGGGACCTCTTCCTCCCTGTGCAGGGGCTCTGGAATGCAGCGTGCACAGTCTGAGGCCAGCAAAAACGTTTGAACTCCCCCCCTAAGAGGCCCAGAGAGCCCGTCTCGCGCTGCTGAGCGGCAGACGCGCGCGGCAGCGATGGCTGAGCCAGAAGAGGGGGGATCAAAATTCTTTCAAGATGAAGCCGCTGGGGAAGACTCAATCGTCTCCACCAACCGGCTCTGATTTGAACGCTCTCGCCTTTGAACAGAGGGAACGACAGCTTTTATCAGGATGTGCTGGCAAGGTAGGACGCCAGCTCCTCGCCCCAGTGAGGAGCAGGCAGTTCGCGCAAGTCCAGAGCATCCTGGAAGAAGGGAAGGGAGGAAAGTTGGTAAAGACACCCACGCAGCCTTGCTACAAACAGGTAAACCTGTTCTGCAACGTGCCTGTGCTCTCTGGGAGCCACGCAGACCACGGCATTGTGTCTACAGGAGCTCGGCATAGGGCAAGTGGCCCAGCCCCGCTGTAAGGCCATGCCACTCGCCCCACGTTGAGCTCCGGCAGACAACGCTGATGGCTGAGCCTTTTGCCCTTGGACATGGCTTGGCTCCCACTGTGGCGGCTGCTCATGGGGGTGCCAGATGCCTCTCCCCCTCGCCGCTGGGCCGCGCTCCTCTGGAGGGAAAGGCAGCTTCTTTGAGGATGTACTTTCAATCTTGGTGATTGCCTGCTAGTCAAAAAGCCACCAAAAGGGGCATCTCCCTGCATATTTTAATTTCCTCCTCGGTTTTGAAGATAATTACGGCAGGAGTGAGTGGCCTTGCATGCTCCCCATTCAAGCACCTATCGGTACAATTAATCCCAGCACCGTTCTGAGCAGCAGCACAAAGGGCCTTTGGTGTAAGGTCCTTTATCTGGGAACAAAGAGCTGCCTGTGGGAGAGAACCTGAGGTTGCACTTTTCCCGCTGACGAGCGCTTCGCATACACAAAAGCCGAGCCACACAGAGCGCCCTGTGAGCACGTCAGGGCTGGAGACCCTGCGATGCCTTTTCCTGGGTCGTGCTGCCTACCTGGGTCCCTCCTCCTCCAGGAGGGTGCTTCTTCCTCTGACCCTAGATAAACCCTGTCCCTGTGGGCAGGGGATGGCCAAGCTTTGAGGCCAGGGGACTCCACGTGCTGCCTGCAAGGGGAAAGCGTTCCCATCCCACAGAGCACGCATTCTGTGGATGGGGCACCCTGCACATGGCAACTCTGGAGCCATTGAGTGCAGGGGAGGTTGTGTGCTGGGATGTTTGACACTCGGCAGCCCCAGGTGCCCGGCCTGTGCTCCTGTTGAAGATAGGAGGCTCTTGATGATGCAGCCAGGAGAGCGGCGAGGAAGGCTGCAGTGAGAGTGGGTCGGGGGTACCCACAGTGGAGCTGCCAGGCACGGGGTTTGGGAGCCCGGTGAAGATGCCAGCAGACGCTGTCTGCCAGCTCCCTCTGCAGGGACTGGGCTTGGCAGCACTGCCGACACGCTGCACAGCCCACGCGCTCTCATCCTCCCTCGGGAATCCCGTCTCTCCCGGGACCCCTCCTGCACGCCCGGCCACCCAAGTGTCCAGTGCAAGGGCAGGGGGCTGTGCAGGGTCCCGGTCCCGGCCTCCCCCTCCCCAGCTGTCGGGCTGGGCAGGCCAGGCAGTGTGGTTCAGCCCAAGGGAAGGGCTGGGGTGCTCCCTATCGCCACCCACGCTGGGAACCCGTCTGTATGCCGATCAGGGTGCCTGCTGCTCCCCAGCGCCAAGAGGAGGAGATGTGGGGCCACTATGGGAGCTGGTCCCCAACCCTGTCCCTCTCTGGTGGGACACTGGAGCTCGGATGGCTCATTCCCACCAATGCACACTTGCCCCCTGTCTGGGATGACTTGCCAGTGAACTGGGAACAAAGGGAAGAGAGAAGGGGAAAGAAGGAAAAAAAAAAAATGGGGCCTGTATCACAGCTGTGGCCCTTCATGCCAAGGGCGTTTGGCCCATCATCAAAGGGGATCGGATTTGCTGAGGCAAATGATGACACATCCACTTCAAGCGGGGCAGGTTCTGCCTGCTGCTGGAGGCGAGCCACTGGAGTGAAGAAGTACTGTGGGCACTTAATAATAGACTCATTATTTCTGCATTATGGCAGGGCCCAGAGGCCCCAACTGAGATTAAGGCCCCTTTGTACACACCACACACGCACACACAAGGCCAGGCGGTCCCTGCCCCAGAGAGCCTGGCCGAGGATGGGCAGCATCACTGGTCCCAGTCCCACTGGCACCATGAGAAACTCACAGCA